GAGGAGAGGAGAGGAGAGGAGAGGAGAGGAGAGGAGAGGAGAGGAGAGGAGAGGAGAGGAGAGGATGGTCTAGTATATTTAACACTTGTCAAAAGGAGACTACACTAAGGCAAACCTTTCCAGGGATTCATCTTATACAGTACATAATTAATTGGAATACAGTTCTAATCACGATTCTCTGCTGCCAGATGTTTACATGCAGGATGTTTACATGCCAGATGTTTACATTTACATTACTCATTTCACATATACTCTTGGACCAATTAATGAATTTAAAGTGTAAAAAATTGAAGCGTTAGGGGGTGGGGTCTCATATAAATGAAGGAAATATTCTTGGTAGGCATGAGCTAATAGCAATTAGCACCAGTAGACAATTTCATCTTCAAAATACAAAGCAAATATCCTCTGAGAAGTGGAAGTACTTCAAAGATGGAAATGAAAATTGCAGCTAAAACCAGAGAACACAAGTTTAAGGTTATAATGAACAGAACAATTACAAATTGATGTCCTACACCTGACCCCATCACAATTAAAACATGGCAAAACCATGCTTTAAAAAAATAACAGCAACCCAATATCTCCTCCATAGCTGAGGTCAGCAGAATAATGTAAAGCACTGCCTGCTGGTGTGGCATAAACTAAAATTCACATTGATTTTTGTTACTAGATCAGGCAGAAACCTGAGGAATCAGTGTAAATCCCACTGGGCAGTGCCTCTGTGGGACAGAGATGCTGAGTTCCATCAGAAGACCAAGGAGCACAGCCAAGGCCAGTGACCATATCAACACCCTGGCCAAATCTGCTCCTAMGGGTGAAACAGCCGAAAGAAGAGGGTTGTGCTCTTGATGCATGAGGCTTCACAAGTGTGCAGCAGCAAGGAGCAGGAAAGCTCACCTTTAAGTTAATTCACACCTGCGCTTCAGACTCATAACTGCTTGCCCACTCAGAGGAGATAACAGASAGGTGGGCAGACCCATCCACACAAGTACGCAGACATTTATGGCTCACAGTAACCACCAGCTGGTAAAATCCTATTTATAGAAAATGCTCCTTGTCTAAAACACCAAACAAGATCTGAAAGGGCTACATTTCACATTTGCGTTTCTCACAGCAAAAATGTCCTACAGAGATGATAAATAAAAAAATTACACACAGATGTGGTGAGAAAAAAAATCATAAAAGAAATCAGCACACTCCCCTAGCAACTGGCCAATATTAGTTGGAATAAGATGGAAACTATATCCTATGCTTGGAGCTAGAAGCCAAAGTAAATTATTACAATGGATTAAAAAATACATGTAATGGAAGAAAACAATATGAACAGATAGATGTCTGGCATATGCTTGAGTATCATGGAGGAAATAGTGATACTATGATCTTCCATACTGTCCACTGATTAAACAGTAAAAGAAATACAATGTCACTCTCTTTGGTTTTATTGTTTCTCTGTTGTTTTACCTGTTGAATCCATTAAGATTTCCTTTCCATTGAAAAGTTTGATCCTGTAAAACCCTGAACTTAGTTTCACTTAGTCTTCAGTGAAAATTAATGCGATGGGAATTAATGAARCTTCCCCAGACACCAAGAGCAGGAAATTTGCCACCATTATTTAACTAGTGGTAGAAATACATTTTCAGTCTGGGAGACCTTCTGGATCAGATCAGAGCTAATTTTTTTTTTTTCCAAATTTACAGGATAAATTGTCTTTGTGCCAGCTTACATCATAATTACATCACCATATATAATGTTTGGCACTCCTTCTAGAAGCATAAAAGGTTTCAATCCTTGGGTTCCGTGCTTTTCAGGGAACCAGAAATCTAGTATCTAGTGAGCTGTGTTTCCAGCTGAATACTTCTGAGAATCATTCTTCTAGTTCTTTTGTAAATAATCTATTTCTCAAGCAAAATAGCCTGTGGGATGGTCTTGAGGTTGTATTCAGGCTGTCTGAAAAGTCTGATGCCACCTGTTAAGAATCCCCATGAAATGGCATGCCTCATGATACATGATTAGTCTGTCCTGATACCTGGATGCAGTCTATTCACTAGGTTAACAGACTTGTTAATTTTACTCTTTAGACAGAGAAACATTTGCTGTCAACAAACGCCAGTCTTCTGAACTTAAGCCTTCTGGCCACTGTTACTTTCCAGTCTTTTGAACATTCAAAGTCAGGATAAGCAGGAAACACTAACACCTCTTTAAACATAGCAAAATGTTTAATGCATGATCCTTGTTGTTCATTTCCAAAAGGCAGTCCCTAAACTAAAAATATGTTACCACRCATTCCTGAACGATCCAACCTTTTCCCATGCTTTCTTTACAAAAAGCTACAAGCACAATGCTATATKAGAAGCAAAAATTCAAAGAGAAACACCGAAAGGAAGTTGAGCTGCAAAGACCAAAATGAAAAGCCAGAAATAGGAAGTAAGAGATAAGAATCAGGAAAGTGAGATAGCGGCAAGGACTCCCCTTTGTATGATTTCTTTTCTTGTATCTTTTCAATGAATTGCTAATTACTCTTTGTTTCAGCTGTAACATAGCAACTCAACTTCACTCTGGTAAAAATAGATGCTTTAGGACATTTCCTACTTGCTGAAGGCAAGATGTGTTTACATGCTTTCTCCAGGCAGACCAGGTAGTATGAGGAGATTTGGGTAGGCACAAACAGCAGGAACTACTTTAGAAATAACTGGTTGTGTTGGGATATCTGCAGAGAGGCTCAGGAATGAGAGCCACAGCTTCTTTGGAGCATAGCAAAAAAGATACTTGCCCATATGTACACATGCAAATATGTGGCATATCCAGCCTGGGAGCTGCTAGACAAACTTAACTGCACATGATTTCTGCTCTGAGTTTGCCATTGAAATGGATCCAGGCCCTGTCAGGTCCGTGCTGCTTACTGAGCCCCTGTGGCACAATCCTTTTCTCCATGGGCTCCAGCCATGGCTGGCTCTGACTACAGGACCTCTGCCCCATATCACCCCTGCATAGAATGGGTATTYCCAGTGATTTTATAATCATTGTAATAATGTGCATAGCAGAAATCACTGTTATGAATCAAGTCAAATGGTTCTGCTGTGCTTGGAGAAGCTGCCCAAGAGACAAAAATTACCACAGAGTGGTGTCAGAGTTCTACTATATGGCAGCATAGGTCAWTTTTTGCTATGGCAGGCAACTCCAGGTTTGTCACACACGATAAAGAGGAAGTTGGTACAAATGGGGAAACATGATGAAAAAATTGGTTATGATTCTGTT